ACTGACTGCACGGTCACTATTCCAATATGGCGTCGGGCGCGGTTACTATTCCAACATGGCGTCGGACTCGGGCGCTCTCGTTCGGGCCAACTAATTACGAGCAGTGTCTACACCTTAGTGAGTGAGTAAGTGAGTGAGTGACACATTTGCATATCGAAGTCCCCGCGACAAACACGTTTCTACGCTTCGCGTATCCACGAGTTGAAAAATGGAGACAAATCAGATCAAAAGCATTATACGGGGAATTTATTTAAGCCACCAATTCAATTCTGAGAGCAATTTACAATAAAAAATAAACTTCCTCTTCCGCTAACGGCGTCCAATGCAATTGTACTGCAAAATGTACCTTCCATCTTGGTGACCTACTCGGGCTGTTCTCGGCAAAAAACCCATTCTCTTTGCGTCGGTATGGTTGCACATTTCTCACAAGTACACCACAGAGCATTTTCCAACCAATCGTTCCATTATTATCATCCCCGGAATCACTAGCACGTTCTAGCTTCAAGTGCAGCCATACTAAAGCTCAAAGGAACAAACACATTCTCGGACGGAATGACGTCACGGATATGGGGCCTGGCCTTCAAGATCCTTTCGAAATGGCGGCTCCCTGTGTCGAACTTTTCACTTCTTTTTCATTGGGATCGCATCCACTTCAGAAACTAAAACAACGGTGAATAACTCAACTCAATGTGAACTTTTTATTGGTGATGGAAAAAAATACACGGTCTTTGGAGTGACCTTCTCCTTTAAGGAATTTTTTGTTATTTTTTACATATTCGGCCTTTGTGGCTGCGCTCCTCTGCCAATTTTTGCGAAAATGATTTTCGTGAAATTATTCTAGTCGGCCTCACGCGATTGCATATCCATGGTAATTAAGATTGCTACAGTATACAAAGATAATCTTTATTGGACCTGCTCATGTTTACATACAATAGTAAACAAAAGGCTTGCTAACGTCTTACTGAAATTGTTGCCAATAATTGATTTAATTTTGTCTATTTGATAACACGGTAGTGTGTTTTAAGTTAGAAGCGGTGTTCCACAAAATTGACACTATCAATCAATAAATCAATCAATCAATTTATAGATTCTGATCAATTAAGCGAATTTAATTAATTAAGTAAATTAATCAATCAATTACTCAATTAATTAATTAATTAAATACGTAAGTAATTAATTGAATAACTAATTACTCCATGTGATCCACGGATAGGACTTGATTATTTTTTTAGATAGCATTGATGTTTTAGATGGCTCTGAGGAGTCCACTGCGATGAAGAGCTCAGGAATCTAAGGGGAATTTTTAAGAAGTGACTTATTTTCTGTGGTCACTTGAAACCAAGTACCCTCAAGTACCTATCCTCACAGCCACAATGTTCCCAAAACGCCAAAATAAGGATATCAAGCTACTTTCTAGAAGGGAAAGCAAGTCATAATCGGTATAAGGCTTTTTTCT